CCCGCTAGAAAAAATATTCAAATATGTAGTTACTTAAAAGTACATCTGATTGCATTTGTAAAGAGCTAATTTTATCCTTTCTATGGTTCGAGTTAGATATAAGAAAAGTTTATTTCACGTCACAACTTTTAGTTCTAATTTTGAAGTTTTGCTCTTTAATTAAAATTCTTCTGTTTTCTTAATATTTTCCTCAACATATCCTTACTATTTATACTTTCAAACAAAACTAGCAGAAAAAAGTATTGTTTCTAAAAAATCGACATTTTATTATACTGTTATGTTAGTAATTAGTATTTAAACTAGAGATAGAAAAAGTCATTTTTGAAAATGAAAAACTCAACATAAACTTGAATTCTATGTGATGAAAAAAAGGACAAACGTCCAGAAAATAATTATGTTTAATAATATGTTTATAATATGTTTATATATATTTTTATAATTATGTGTAAAAGTTTCTGTTCTGAAAAAAATAGGAGTACAATTGTAATCTATATATGATAAATTTCTTCGTTCATTTATATGTTTGCTATGAAACTCATGGATACCCTTGGGGATAACATAAGCTAAATAAAATCTAAGTTTTTTTGTTTTTATTCGATTTTTAAATTCCATGAGCAAGGCCTGACATTTCAGCTAGTTTTAAATAAAAATAAAGATTACAAAACGGCGGTGCAATGAATTAAGTAAATTAAATCCAAATTTAAAAAAAAACAAAAAATGGTCTTTTACTACCTCCAAACTCAAAAATAACTGTTTTACGGCGCTATCCCTGATAGCGCCCATCCGATTAGGATGAATGTGCATTCTAAATAGATTTTCATTCGGACATCTGTGATGGTGGCTCTGGTCCACATTTATAATCTTCTTCTTGCACTGAATGAACAGCAAACTAATTATTTTTATGTTCTCCACTCTTGAGTTTAAGATTTGAAAAGCGTGAAAGCTCTGAGTTCTAGGGGGGGGGGGTGGCGGCTACGCCCCCTATAAAGGTCTAGGGGGCACTG